AACCATGCTACGGCGTTAATGATATCACGGTGAGGTAATCGACTAAACATGTCCTTGATGTCAAAGGATCGTGCTGTGATCCTGTTGACATGTCCCAGTCGCCTGATCTCGTTGTTAACCTTACCCAATCTCTCAGTCAGATGTGATAAAGTTGAGAGGTTGAAGTGACAGCCAGATGGTAACCGTGATAATAGGAAGTTCAGTCCTTTAGCCACAGCCCGACCGGTGCGAACCATCGGTTCGCTGAACGTTGGACAGATCAGGCGATATCTCACAAGATCTTTATGTTTCGGAATTACATAAGTAGTCCCCAGTTTTCCTCTCTTGTCCCACCGAACAAACCTTTGCAGTCCCGCATCCTTCATCTCTTCTCTGACCTCGAGCAAAACAGTCTCAGCTACTGGCATCACCGTGTATCATGAGCTCCTGACGAATGTGTTCATCATAGCCTCATAGTAGGTCTTCGGGCACGTCACAACTGTCTCACCAGGGTTCCTATCGAGTGGAGTCAACACTAGTCCGTTCAACTTCTTCCTCAAACCCTCGACATCAGACATCGATAGATGAGACGAAGTCTCCACGCTATCAGCATGCATGCATCTAGCCAAAGTCTCCAGAGATACACTCAACTTATCCCTACGATAGTTCCTCCAGCTCCGGAAACCCGACTCGACTTCAAAACGTAGGGAAATCAGACGATATGCTTGTTGGGATCGCGGGATGTTATTTGCATTGTCCAACAACGGCTGGTCCACTACATCTTTCTTCAAACGAAACAACACGTGCCTATCCACTCTGGGATAGGGTAGACTTGCACATTGACAAGTCATCACACTACGGGAAGCAAAAGCCCAATGATTGTGTAGGAGCTCACCCACAGTCTGGTTCTTCTGCCAGACTATCCGAGCTTTCTTACGTGCTCGACGCATGAAGYAGGTAGGTAGATCAAGATCACATAGAACGTCATTTACTACTTTTCGGAGTTCACAAATACTGATCCTGTTATCAAATTTTACTATGATTAACAGGTCGGAGCTAAGACTGAGGTCAAATCTATAGAGAAACAATCACGAGATCAGTCTCCTCAGGTATTTCCTAGTTGACTTCCTCGAAAAATCCTTGATCGCACTGTAGAGTCGTAGCAAAGATCGCATGTCCCACCTATAGAATTTCCTAATAACACTCGGATTCTTCAGGAGGGAGATAAGAAGTTGTTTCAGGTATCTACACTGGGGCTTCCATGACACAGCGTACTCAACTGTAATGCATCCCCCACTTTCAAACCAGGCTTTACAGTTTTTTAGCTGTCCCGTATCAGACCCACGACGTAACTTGGTCACTCCGAACTTTCGCGAGATGCACTTTCATGCTGACTGCCAAGCGTTACCCCCGCTAGTGTGAATGACAAAATTCCTATCCCCCGTAGACTCGCGCTCCTTCAGCAAGGCGTATAGATCCAGTCGCCAGTCCTCGACTACGCTGGTTCTAAATCGAATTGGTGCTTCGGTTTGTACCCTTACTGAATCCGCTGCCTCAACCTCTCCTTCTTTCCCACCGTACATCCTTTTCCGGCTCGATTAGACCCCGTACGGACCCCAGATGTATTCAGATATGGCGACCACTGACGAATATATAGGTTCTCTAGTTTAGTTAGCTCATCGTTCACTATCGTATCTACAGGTATCAACACATAGTTATTTACACCAAAACACCCCAACCAACGGTAGAAGTGGTTCGGGCTCTTCTTACGGCTCGCGTACCTGTGTTCACGCCAACGTACATCCAKGTGCCTTGAGGATTTACCAATATATTGAGATTTGCAATACGGAGACACRACTACATATACGCTCGATTTCAGGTTGACAAATTCCGACCCGAACAGATCATACAAACGTATCCAAGCTTCGATGCACTTACGAGTCCATCCGAACACATCATATAGCGACAAATTAACAACAGCTAATCGGAGCAGTTCCTCAATCCTACCATCTACCCCATCAATCAAAGTCCGAATCACGATAAGGCAGTGTACGATCCTCCACAATACGGCAGTAATGAAGCCACCTCAAACAGTAGAGGTCTTACCTTCCTCGTCGACGGTATCCGCGGTGCCCTCATGGGTTGACGTCTCATTGTCGTCATCGTCCGAACCATAGGCCACGCTAGTACGATGTGCGGCAATATCAAAGATGGATTCAAACTTGCCATGGTAAGGTATTCCCTCGTCCTTACAGATATTCTGCAGTACCAAGGCGTCCAAATTCTTCAAGTCATTCATTACTTTCTTCTCGAATCTCAGTCTCCCGACTACACTGATGGCCGCCGGAGTCTTCTTCCGGATATAGGGCGGAGTCTTCTTCGGAGTCGGTGTCTTCGCTGTGGCCCTCGCTTTCATCATTCTACGCATCTCGTGGCCCTGTCCACGAGCCCGACGAGGTGTATGTTTGGGAGGTAGTTCCATCGGGGGACTATCCTCAAGTAAACTTCTGGTCCCCGTTTCCTCTTCTCAGTACGGCACAGATCGCGTGTCTGTAAGTTCAACTCCTCAGTATCGCTGCTGCTAGCGCTGTTAGCAGGAGAACCTGATGGGGCAACCTTTTGTTTACCCCGCGCCACTACCGTACACAGCCACCCAATCGCGTCACGGACGTCTTCTCTCACCTCATCACGAAGCTCACCTACACGCAACGCCATTCTAATGTCCAGGCACTTGCGCATCTCCTCCTTCTGTTCTGCATCCTTGAGCGCCTTCGCTTCCTTCTTCTTTTTCTTGAGTTCGACTTTGGCCCGTTCAGCAGCTGCACGCCTTACAGCTTCCTTCTTCTCAGCTTTCCTCCGCTCCTTAGCTATTTTCTTTTGTTGCTCCATCTCGACATATTGACAGACAACTGCCACACTCCTCCCGATCTCCGTGACTTTAGATTCCAATTCGTCTCCCTGTTGTGGACGCTTCGGGCGGTCCGGTCCACTGAGTGAACTTGATTCCCCAAAGTCACCTGCACTCCCTCTGCCAAATTTCAAATTCTTCTGAGGGTGAGGGCACTGATTAGCATAGTGCATTGGTTCCCCGCAGTTAAAACAGGTAGGGGGTCCCCGTCGTGGTCCGCGATCATACTGCCGATCGCCCTGTCTCTCGCCAATAAGGCCACGATCACTACCATAACCCCTGTCACTGTCATAACCTCGATGTCTTCCTCCATATTCGCGTTCGCTACCACCCTGGTCGCGGCCACTCCATCCGTGGTCATGGCTGCTCCCTCCATAGTCACGTTGATCCCCGTGGCCCGCCATATCGCCGGGACCACTGTAATCGCGATTATGTAGACAGGCGTAAGGCCAGCCCCCGTCGCTGTCCTCCTAATCCGGTCAGACAATTGATATAAGTACAGTGTCATAAACGTGCTCACCTATCCCGGCAAAGCGACTCCAGGATCGTTCACACGCTCAATTGATAGTATCGATGAAAGTGGGACAAAGTCCAAAGGGTCAAACCGCTCAAACCAGACTCAAGTAGGGACTCAAGATGGACTCGAGCTGAAAGACAAG